ACAATTACAGCCGATCGTAAAATTTATATGAAAGTTCTTGAAGGTTACTTTTGTATTGTGTTAGTTTATTATTATTATTGCATCGGTTTACTATAATAACAGAATTTCTTAAATCACAATTTAGAAAAGGCATTCTCTCAATAAGTTTTCTGAATTTTGATGTGATAAAACAAAGGACCGAAAAGGGCGGATAGGTAAATCGCTGCTCCGATAAAAAAACAACCTACTTGAGCTTTTTTAATTCCCTTTTTTATCATTTTTCTGAAGATTAAACGGAAACCTACACGATCCCGATACAGAATTGAAATTGGTTGAAGGCGCCAGACGTTTAGACTTACGATTAGATTAAAAAAATATGAAATTCAAATGTCGACCTAATTCAGACTGGAAAAAGTCGAACTTTCGAAAGCACCCCTTATACATACACCTACCTACATATGCATATGTATACTATGGGTACGTTTTTTTGCGCCTACCCATTTCTTTTCTGTCGGCTTTTAATTAGGGTTTAAGCCGACGTGTTTTTCCGTATTTTTCATGGACAAAATTTACGACCAAAGGGGTTAGTTGCCCGGGTTTTGTTTCGCGTTACGTCAAAGCCTACGGCGCCGCGGCGCACGTTTTCAAGTGGAAAAAGACTGATAAATTTCAGGAATTGAAAACCTTTTTATGAACAAAATGTGACCGGGTAACTAGCGCACTTGAAAGGAAAAGCTAATTACCTTTTCACCTTTTCACTCAAAACAAATTTTCTTATAGTCATCGTCTAAGAGACTTATGGTTCTCAATCTTCTTTTCGATATAAAAACAAAGGCTTTCCCGGCTGGAATCTATAGTATAGGGTTGTTCGGAAAGTCATTTCGTTTTTTTTTGTGGAAATGAAAGACAGTTTTCGTATAATAAACAAATCCTTTATTAAATTATATATTGACCGTTCTGGTCCAACACCTTTTGCCATCTTTCTGGTAGTAGCATAATTCCACGCTCATAAAATTTTTGGTCTTTGCTGGCAAAAAACTGATCGGGGAGGTTTTTGACCTCCTCATTTGAGGTGAAGGTTTTACCGGCTAAAAAATTTTGGAGTGACCGGAACAAATAATAATCCGATGGTGCCAGGTCTGGAGAATATGGTGGGTGTAGCATTGTATCCCATTCAAGCTGTAAAAGGTTTTGGCGAGTGACCAAACTTGTGTGAGGTCTCGCGTTGTCTTGGTGAAACACTACACATCAGTCAATTTCTTTCTGGCTTGAATAGCATTTTTACCCTTTCTGTAGTAAAACAGTAAGATATGTCGAAAATGCTGCTTATCGTTCTCCATATTTAAAAGGGCACCAACCAAAAACTACTGCGTAGAATTAATTGGAATTTTTCACACACAAGCCTTGCTATATGAGCTCTCAAAGCATATAAAAATTATACGGCATAAATGTGAAGTTGGGTGCAAAAGAATACAATTAAATCCTCTATCGGGAAAAAACGAAATGACTTTCCGAACAACCCTATAGAATGAAGTTTTGGGCTATAGGGCCGTGGTCTAAGTGAACTATTTTTTCCAGACGTTTCGTCAGCTACTGCGGCTGACATCCTCAGTGGTAGTTCTGCGTTGGTAACGTGAACGTAGACAGCGACTCAGTCTAGATAGAATAGTTCACTTAGACCACGGCCATATAACCCAAATCTTCAATTTTCCGAAAATCAGAACACTCCATCCATTGCTGGGTCGGGATGGACCCTTAATTCTCATGATTACCAACTAGAAACACACGTAACGACGTCCATGGACATGTACAAAAAAAATAAATCTAATGCAATTTTGTCCATCGAAATAGGTCATTTGAGATTATTGTAGAAATTAATAAACAGGGTGTTCCCGAGTGATGTTTCAATGAGAGGTTTTCCGATTCCACGGCTGGGTTTTCCGTCAAAGTTGACCAAACCTTTTCCTCAATAATTTTGAACATATTAGATTCGTTTCTGCTTAATTCGACTAAGTTGAACTTAAATATTACATTCATTTTGATATAGTTTCAACATTCCTTCCTAAGAGATTTTAATTTTTCGACTTTTAAAACACAACTCTTTTATTTCAAGTGCAATTGAAAAACATATTATAATTCAAATAAATAGACTTATCAATCATTAAAATCGATCTAAAATTTAGTAATAACAACCAAATCAATTTTGGTCAACTTTTACGACCCCTAGCAAAAAGCCCTTTATCATAAAGTCGTCAGTCCTAAGACTGGTTGGACCCACACCTCCACTCTTTCCTATCCTGAACTAATCTTCGCATTTCCCTAAAACTAGAACATCCCACATCCTTAACTATTTATGAACAGTAATCCAAAGTAATCTAGGTCTACCTCGACTCCTCTTTATTCCTGTTTCTGTCTCTAACTAGTCCTTATAGTCCTAGCTACCCAAAATCAGCCACTTCTTCTAATTTTTTGTCTACTGAAGTCAAGAAGCACAAATTTACGATAGAGTGATTGTACCCACAACAATCCATAAGTAAAAAGTATTCTTTCGATTCGAGCACACCATTATTATTATTATTAACTACAGAAACTATTCCATCAGTCTTGACAGTTACAATTATTGTTTAATTTATATTTCCCACGACCAGATAAATTCCAAATTACTTTTTAATTTAATCAATTTATTCGTAGGCAGTGATGCATTTCGTAAATTCAAAAACGTTTTATACAGCAACAACGTAACGACAATAACGTGTTGATAGCATGTTGTGCGGAATTTTGGGGGAAATTAACAGAGGGCAGTGCTGTCCGTCCGTTTTTTATGCACTCACATGTGTACACATACGCGAGCGACAGATAGCTACACGTACACATTTTAATGAATAATTTGCCACGGGGTGGACTATTAACAACCCTTTGTCGTTAAATCGTTGGTTTGATATGATCATGATGTCACAAACGCATTTTCTTCAGTTTTTTTTATCATTTAAGGGGGCGACCTCGTTCGCGCATACTTCTAAGGTCTGTACTTAGGCCAATAACAGAAACTTAACGCCCTAAGTACGCCCCTTGTACGATGTCCACTCCTTAGTCATAGCAATTTTAACGATATTCTCAAGGTAATCGGTTTTCTGCTACATTTTACTAGAATGATTGGACTTTTCGTGGATTTTAAATACGATATTGTTCGACGGTTTACACTTTTAAAAAAATGCCCAAGAAAACATGTTTTACCACTTAGTGGGTGAATGTCCGAATTGCATACTTAGTCTCATGTCCTACATTATGGGCATGACGTCATACCAGGTCGACACCCATTCAATACGAACAAGCATAGTACAAAAACCACAAATACTAATAATACGACATTTGGAAAATAGAAATCATCCCAAATAAACAATTTATTAGTAGCTGCTACCACTTGTAGAAACGAAACTTTTAAGAAATTAAATATCTAATTAAATAAAAGTAATTTTAGAAAGCACACTAATTCTACGGATGTACTTCTGCAATATGTTTAATATCAGACGCAAGTACTTAAAATAAATTATCCCACTGCTAATGAGTGTTGTAAGTAAATATATCTGTAATAATGTGGAAAATGGTCGGAACAATTCGAAACAAAATTGCCACAATAATTACTTGTTGAAAGTTTGAATATATCTTTGTTCACGAACACTTTCACCATTCGTCAACGAAGACTTTATCAAATCAAAGTGTTGGCTACACAAATCTGTTTACACAATTAACAATCATTTAATTTCCAAGTTATTAAAAATAAAACTTTCTTCCTTCGGAGAGCGCGTCTGTATGAAACCATCTAGCTCCACGATTATTAGAGTACTTTATAATGAGTATTCTCAGAAAACGATAACTATTGAATTTAGAACACACAATGATGACAAAGTAATCAAATTATTTGTAGTAATAAATGCAATATGATAAATTGTAGATGTTTCCAAATATTATACTTACGATTACTTTAAGACTGTGTAAAGGTTGTGAAACGATTAGTAATTGCATACAAGGTTAAATACAATTATGTGAGTGTCTTTAAACATAAAATCACGTGTGCTTAGAGTATAATTGTTCTACTACACCCAAAAAATAATATACTGACTCCAACTTCGAGACATATTTTCGAGAAATTAATTTTTTATGTTACGATTCTCATTTAAAATTAATATTAATAAAATTATAGCAACCAATCTCTACTTTTACTTTTTGCCTACCCTTGAATATCTACTATTTTTTTTTGTATTATTATTTAAAAATACAGAGTTAAGGTGTGTGGTATCGTGCAACACCCAGTAG